ACCGGAAAGGTTGACCCGTATCCAGCATCCAAAATTTACTTTTTACCATAATTGTAATTGATAAATTTCAATTAGCCTTCTCTCTCTAAAAAGAAAGGTTTGATAAAAGAGAAGTGGTTGTCACAGTTTGCTCTTTCTCTTCTTGTTACCTGGCAACTAAACAAAGACAAAAATAACAGAGGAAGCCTTGCTCTCAACTGTTTAATTCTTCATAGAGATAGAGAGGTTGTATTTAATAGGAGGTTAAGAAAAATGGCATCATTTAAACTATAACCAGGAACCGTCAGACCAGAATGAAAATTGAAAAACTGTGTATTTACATGTTCGCAGCTGTGTACAGTTGTTTAGTACTGAGTGTACCAGATAATCCGAACCTGTATACATTTACCATAGATATGGTCAGCTCCATTCAGTCCTTTACAGCTTGTGTTACTCTCCAAACTTTTCTTACCAGCCATAATCAACAAACCTTACTTGGGGGACTTGGTATTCAGTTTTTGTTCGTAGAAGAACTATTTATTCTCCACTTTGCAGTTCTTAGGATAGTTACTAACTTGGCACATGAAGGTTTGAATTCATTCTATTGGGGACATCTGGAAATAGCCAATTATGTGCTAAACTCTGCACGAATAGGATGTTGTATTAGCAGTTCACTCCTGACCATGTCTGTATCCTGTCTTGTTCTTATTGCTAGTCCCGGTTTCTACCAAGGTATCAACAAAAAGCTTTACCTTCAACTTGCAGTGATGTTTAATGGGGTAATTTTTGTCTCAGATTTTACAATCAATCATGTTAGGTGCCTGCTGACTCACTCTAAAAACTATGAGACTCCTACTGTTTTGCACATGAGAAATGAAATCGGCATTGCTTTTCAAATGTCAAATCAATCCTCTTCCAATACTACTTCTTATGAAGAATTTCAAAAGCATACTTCATATGAAATGTCTACAGATTCAGAATGTACTGAGATCAAAATAGTTGCAACTATGCTTCTTCTATCGACTTTGATTGAAGTTATCAAAATCACCATCTACTTTTATCGAATTTATAGAAAAGCTATAAAAACTCAACCTCTACCTCAGGTTCTGAGCAGACTAACCCCACAAAAAAGAACTAATACAAGAAGATCCTTTTCATCTGGAGAACTCCAAAATGTAGCCAGGGGTAAAGGTTCACATGTTTTCCAATCAGCTTTCTTGGGTTTTAAAGCTATACATGACTCATCAGAATTACCATCTGCTTTACAGAATTCTGACACTGTGAGTGATAAACAAACGGAGAGGGCACATACCAGTGCCTTTCATAACCTGGATAATTTGGAGGTAAAAGAAATAAAGGGTATTGTACAATCATTTCAATCATCTAGTCCAGAGGCTTTAGATGGAAATGAAAAGCAGCGGTCAGTTTCACTAGTAAGTGATGAAGCTTCTAAATCTGAAGAAAGTCTGGCTATGTCTCAAGCATTTGACTGGAAAATGTTGGAAACTGTTGAGCATAAAAGAAGCCTGGTGTCTACTACACACCCCTTTGCCATGGTGCATAGTCAGACCACAACTTTAACAGAAGGCCAGTCCGACCTTGAGGCAACAGTGAGAAAGATGAAAGTTAGAGGGTGGACTGATAAACATGTTTCTCTACGGCAATTAAAAATAGAGAGGTTAGATGGGTTAGATGATCAGGAAAGGGTGATTTCTACTCAACAGTCATCTTCACAGGATTCAGTAGAATCAGGGACACCTGCTTTTCATCCAACCACAAAGTTTACAGAATGTACAAGTGAAAGGATAACTGCCAACTCAAGATCTATCAAGCAAAGAAGTCATTCTTTACCAACACTTTACTTGCTTGATTCAAAGGGCGGGAACATAAAGAAGGCACAACCAATCCGGGTTAAGGTTCCATGGAAGACACTGGTTTACAAGCCTATGAAGGAATTCATATTAAGGTCATCAACTGTGTCCTTTATATTAAGCATAGTTGGTTTTATTGTTTTAGTCAAATTACTCAGTATGCATGATGAAAATAGCACTGAAAGCTCATTGAAACTGCTTTCACATCTTACTAGAGCTTACATTTTAATATTACCAGTTTTTTTGGTGTTATTTGATGATCAGGTTGTGTTATATGCCAAAAGCTTTTTTGTAAATTGATAACTGTTTTCAGGGCAATAACGGGGGGCGGGGGGTGCACTGTGAGATCAAAGTTATGGTAAAATATTACTGAGATATGAGCACCTCTGTTTTAACAAAAGGAAAATGAAAGACCTCTTTGTCTGAAATATACTGAATTAAATGCACAAGAATACCAATAAATGGAACGAGACTTTAAGGACAACCTCTAACTTTATAAACTAAAGGATTAATTAGGCCTTATTCAAAAGATATTAGATTGCTCTGAGTAACCCAGCAATCTTTTTAATATCCCTAAAAGAACATTTTGATTGCAATCAGTCAATGATATAGATTTTTGAACTTTAGAATATTTATTCCAAGAAATCAATCTAACTTTTCATTTTTGTATTGTATTAATTTATCATCTTATGAATTGTACAAAATGTAATGCATCTAATAAATTTCAGATTTTATAAATTATTTTGTATAATATAATAATTTTGAAAGACATTTATAGTTATTTTTATTAATTTGGTTTATAATTTTGAAAAAACTTCAAAAATTAATAATTTTCATAAGGTTCCTGCCATCCCATACAGATAAGAGGTTTTTCTATTAACATGGTTCATGCAGTAATAGCTTTGATTTAGGGTTGTTAATTATAACTCAAAATAATGTAACATATCTTATTAATTCTTGTTTAGAACAAAACTGTTAATAGTAACAGGATACAGGCAGCCTTATTACATTTGAAATTCTGAGCTGGGTCAATCTTTCCAATCCCGTTTGTACTGTACCTAGCTCTATGAACAGGACTAGTCGGTGCAATAAGTTTGACAATTCATATAGGTTGAATTTACTTTTACTGAAGGGGCAGAGGGTCGTGAGGACGTATATGAGAGAAATACAATCATTAATGTTAAGATTATAGATTAGGGTTTTCACAAAAAGCATATTTCCTGTTTTTTAAACTTCTCACACAAACATCTAGTTAAAAGGCAAACTAGGGGATTAAAACACCTTCCGTTAAAGTCAAGAAACATAATACTATTGGCAGTGCAAAGTTTGTGTATTTTAGAGCTAAATTTTCCCCTATAAATAATTTTTACATTTTTTGGATTTTTAATTAATCTTTGGATGAAACTTAAATATTTTTTGCACATACACCTCTGTTGGATTGTGCTTTAGCAAGAAGAATAAAATAAAGTTGAAACAATAATTTTTTCTACACATTCAATCTTTTTCCATATTTTTTTAAAAGCCTTTTTGCCAAAACTTATCAACATCAGTAAAAAGTTTAAGAATATTAAATATCTCTGGCACACAGGTCTAAAGTTAATTGTATTTTTCAAAAACCAAGTCTTTTTGCATTTTTTTCAGAACCTATTCATCAAACGAGCCTCAATATGGGTCCCAAATGTTTGTCTTTGTTACAATCATACTAAACTTAAATGCATTTTTATACTTGTTCATTTAGTGAAATCTTAAGACTTTTTTACAATTTTTAGGTTAAGCTTTTTTCCTGAACTTTCACTTTTTTTAAATGTAAAAAAATTATAAATCCGCGAATTTTTCACCGTATAGTTTGATAATATAAGAAGAGAAAATGACGCAGAAAGAGCAACAGAGCAAAGAGGCGCGGGGAGCCTAGTTTGCTAAATTTTTCTACAAACCATTGAAAAGGTCTAATATCTAGGTCTTAAAGAATAACGTCCATTTATCGATGAAGCAGAAATTATAAGTGAAAATAATAAATTTTCTAAGTGAGAAACATTATTGTTATTCATTCAGGATTAAACATTAAACACAGATTTTATGCAGTAAGAGGATTTAGAGAGAGAAACATAATCAGTTAGAGTAATAAGAGTGAAGCATTTATAATAATTGTCAGCAGTGTACTGCCGGCCCCGGGAACTGTAGAGTAATTAGAGTGAAGCATTTATAATAATTGTCAGCAGTGTACTGCCGGGTACTGTAGAGTAATTCAGGGTACTGCAGGATACTGCAGGGTATTGTAGAGTACTTTAGGATACTGCAGTTGCATTACAGGGTACTGTAGAGTACTGCAGGGTATTGTAGAGTACTTCAGGGTACTGCAGGATACTGCAGGGTACTGCAGGATACTGCAGGGTACTGTAGGGTACTTTAGGGTACTGCAGGGCACTGCAGGATACTGTGGGGTACTCCAAGGTACAGCACTGCAGGATACTGTGGGGTACTCCAAGGTACAGCACTGCAGGATACTGTGGTGTACTCCAAGGTACAGCACTGCAGGATACTGTGGGGTACTCCAAGGTACAGCACTGCAGGGAGGGTACTGCAGGATACCGCATTGTATTGTATAGTACTGTCGGGTACTTTAGGGCACTACAGGGGGTACTGTATGTTACTGCAGATACTGTAGGGTACTCCAGGGTACTGACTGAAGGATACTTTAGGGTTTTTTAGGGTACTTTAGGGTACTGAAGGGTACTGCAGGACACTGCTGGGTACTGTACAAATAATGTTTTAGGATTTAAATATTAAATATTTTTAATTCAATTTAACAATTATTGATGCACTGCAGGGTACTGCACAAATAATGTTTTAAGGTTTAAATATCAAATATTTTTTATTCAATTTAACAATATTTTATGCACTGCAGGGTACTGCACAAATAATGTTGTAGGGTTTAAATATTAAATATTTTTCATTGAATTTAACAATTTTTCGTGAAAATTTTTATTATTCAAATATTAGAAGGTTAAAAAATGTAATAACATTTTTTCCTCGTAATAGAATTTTTACTGAAATAAAACTAACAATATTTAGAGAGCCCAGAAGGTTCTGGAAACAAACTTATTTATTTTTGAGAAGACTTATTAGTGTCTTATTTCATTAATTTATTATTATTGACAGAAAATCTTCAATTATCTTTACTGTAGTTTTGCATTCTTCATTCAATTTATACTTGATACATAAATTTCAACAAAAATAGTATTTTATAGAGAGACAAATATTATAACAGTTTAATTTGATTCACATTTATATACATTTACAACAAAATTAGTATTTTTGATTAAAGTAAAAAAGTAGCATTATATGTACATTATTAACCGATAAAGTAGGACAAGAATTACAAGAATTAGTAGTTTTAACAAATAATGCCTTTGGATTGTTGCATTGAAAATATTCTATTATTTTTAATTCAAAATTAGTTTTGCATCTATACATAAGTTTGGCTTGTCTGTCTGTTTGTTTATATCCAATAAACGTCAAAACGGCTAAACCGATCGGGCCCAAATATTTTTTGTAGGATCTTGCGTTTTAAAAATTTTTGTGAAAAAATTTAAAATCTTGAAAATCCGCAATTTTTTTTATAAAATCCGCGAAATTTTTTTTTACTTTGTTTTACAATGTTACAATGAGAACATGTTCACAATTGAAATAGAAGATGTGCGCAAAGCGCCCTAAAAGCCTAGTTATTAATAAAGGTTTAAGACTAAACAAACTGTTAACCAATATAAATATTTGTATTTACAAATTGTATAAAAACTCAAACTTCTGCTTTCTCGAGAACTAAGCTGTCAGGTCCTTCATGGTTATTAGACTAAAATAAATATAAATATATTTTTTCTTCTGTAACTTTTTTATAAGAGTCCCAAGTAAAAATAATCAATTTTATAAACAAAAAATACAAATTCAATTGTGATCAGACTTTTGTAGATTATCACCACTTAAAACTATGCCTACAGTCCCTTTAATATTATTTCATAAATTCACCTTTTTATTCTGCCAGACTTCTATTCCCCAGTAATATAGAAGAGCTCCTAGGATACCTCCAATATGGCAAAACACCATAGGAATCCAGCACCTTTAAAATATAAATTTTGCATGGGGACTTAAAGGGACAGACCGGATATGTAAGGTAGTTGAACTGAGAATGCAGTGTTGTGGATTCATTTTAGACATATAAAACTTTTTAAAGATCTGTAATTATCCTGAGTTTGATTGCAAAGTTGACGTTCAAAATCGTACTTTTGGGTGGATACGTTTTCAGAATTGTATTAAATAACGACGACAAAAAATATTGGCATATAAAAAAATTGTAATTGAAATTATTTGTTTACCTACATTTTAAATTCTAATGTTTAAGAATTATTGTTTTAAGATAATTCTTAGAAATTCATATGATATTTCATTTTTAAAATGCTTTGTATTTAATAGATTTTATGCATGCTTAAAACTAAAACTTTATGAATGATTTACTAGTATGTATAAAATATTTTAACATCATTTCACAATTTTAAACTAAATCATAACATCTTAAAAGTGATTGCAGTTTATTGTAGGTATGTTTTTACGTTTATTTGTAAATTATAAAAGAAGATTTTAAATGATTTACGCCCTTTTTAACCTCATATCACCAATAAATAGCTCATAAGTCACACATTTACCCAAAAACCTGAACAATCCCTTTAATGCTTACCATGTTTGTTTAGCTGTATAGATCTCTGTTCCCCAACCGGAAATAGAAAGAAGAACGCGTGGAGCAAAGTCGCGTGCTGGGTTTATAGCATACCTAAAACAGGGGTATATACACTAAACAGAGTGTCCCATGAAACATGACTGTAGCAAGACGACTTCAAGTTCGTCGTCTTTTATTATACAATTTGATGCACTTATTTGTTAACCTATGTTCACGCACCTCTGCCCCTTTACTAAAAGTAAATTCAACCTATATGAAGCATAAAGTCTGACCGCGTCAACCTTGTTGCACCGGCTAGTCGTGTCCATAGAGCTAGGTACAGTTCAAACTGAGACCGGAAAGGTTGACCCGGCTCGGAAATTCAAATGTACTACGGCTGCCCGTGTGTTAAGAAGTAAAATCCTCGAGTTAATAAACACCAAATTACTCATAGTCCTGGGATTTACAAAATGTGGTCTGCCTTTTTTCTTTCAATATTACCCTGCATTGTGTCCGAAGCATGCTCCGATAGCAACAACTGTTAAACCAACCAGCAGTGGACCAAGGGACTTGGATACATTATTGTTACCAGGCAAACCTAGCAACCTGATGGATATCAATCACACATTCAAATCAATCACCAAAATAAAAATATGAAAGCGGTTGGAACTTTTGTAAACATTATCCTTGTCATCGATATTCACAGAAGAAACTTTTAATTTTAAGCGACTTAGTGCTTAATCATAAATAGCGAATCTTTTTTTTCTAAATCACATATTGTGTCCGGAAAACATTTTTGTGACTTCTAATTAAGAATTAACTTAATCTATTTGGTTGGTTACATTTCGCTACAAAAGTCATGATTTTCTGTTTTCTGTTAGGGATAGCAGTCTGCACTCTCATTTACAGTCTTTGAAATATTTAATCCATGTGTTCCTATGGCCAGTACACAGATCAATAGTAGTGCTGTTCCTACAATCTATAAAACATAAATACGGATATGATTTTTGATTATTATTATTATTATTACCATCATTACAGTTAACATAACTTTCATTGTCATAATTATTATCATTTGTATGGTAATTTTATTTATTATCAATAACTTGAAAAGATTAGAAAAATGACTTGTATGTTTGAAACACCTATTTTCAATCTCATTTTAAAGTAGAAAGACACCAACTTCTATCTATAAATTTGGCTTGTCTGTCTGTTTGTATCCAATAAACGTCAAAACGGCTGAACCGATCGGGCCCAATTTTTTTGTGGGACATCTAGGGACCCCAGAGAAGGTTTATGAAAAATCAAAATTTCAAATATTTGTCTCCATCAAAATTCGATCGTCATTAAATTTTTTAAAATTTTGAAAATCCGCGAAATTTGTGAAAATCCGCGAATTATTTTTGTTTTGTTTTACGATCTGTACACAAAGAGAACATGTTCACAACTAATTTAGAAGATGGGCGCAAAGCGCCCACTAAGGCTAGAGAGAAGGGCGCGAAGCGCCTTGAATTTCTAGTTGAACATATTTTTGACATAACCAATAAAGGAAATTAGACTTCAAACACGGATGTACATAATTTAATAATCTTACAGGGTGAGTCAAAAAGAAAAGTGTGATTTGCGGCGTCTGGTGCAAAATTGTACCTTTTTGTACAACTCTCGACTGAACAGTGTTTTTTCAATATTTTTTGAAAATTTGTGACTTTTTCAGACCTGAAAATTGCGAATTTTCTTCTTACAATCATGCAAATTTTCTGCGATTCTGTGATTCAATCTTTTTAAAATATTAGATTTCGATAGAAAAAATTTATTTTCACATTTTTGTTTTTCTGAACTTTTTATTTTGAGAGAAAAAAAGGTTCGCGGATTTTTTTGGGCCATTACAAATTACAAATTTTCGAAAAATATTGAAAAAAAACACTATTCAGGAGAGTTGTACAAAAAAGGTACAATTTTTCACCAGGCGCCGCAAATCACACTTTTTTTTGACTCACCCTGTACATTCTTGTCTTTTTTTCTGTAACTGCAAACTATAATTTATTATGCTGCTTATCTTTAAAATTTATTCAAGGCATAATTTTTCGGAGTTTTAGGTTCGTCATCAAATCCTCATCCTTTGTGGGTAACCTTGTATTATTTAATCAATTCTTATAGAGTTTCTGCTGAACTGAGTTCTTGCTACAAACGTTTACTCCACTGGGTTGCAAAGAAATAGAGATTAGAAAATTAGAAGAGTTCAGATCCTTAAATTTTTTTTCTAAATATGCAACATGAAGATGCATTACCAAAAAGAAAAGTGGAGAACGAGAAATATAGAAATGTCAATGGTGTGTCACAAGAATAGGAGTGTTCACAGCAATACCCAATATATTTGCATCTACTATCATCAAATTATTTATAAAATATTGTTAAAATTAAGATTCAAAAAAAAATATGTAAGAAAAAGATCCTTAAACCTGATCAATGGCTCCCGACAAGTTTGAAATCCCATTATTGGGAAATGTTACAAAGATCCCAGCTGTCCCGTTCTCCCCAAGCACCTGAATCAAAATTGGAAATATGGGAATTTAAAACTGTAAAAGCTGATTGTTAAAGAAATTTAAGTCATTTCAAGGAAAAAACGAAGCGTGGTTTACTGCACAGTAATTTCCAATTTGTGATCTCCAATGATGGAGATATCTATAATGTGTGATCTCCAATGATGGAGAAATCTATAATGTGTGATCTCCAATGATGGAGAAATCTATAATGTGTGATCTCCAATGATGGAGAAATCTATAAGCATTTTGCCAATTACTCCATTTAAACTAAAGATGAAGTTTTTCTAGGAATTACTATAAACGTAAAAGTGATTTACTTACTCACTCACTCTTTCACTCACACTCACTCACACTCTTACTCACTCAATCACTCATTCAAACTCTTACTCACACACTCATTCACTCACTCACTCACTCATCTGTTAAATCAGAATATAATCAAACTTTGAAATATTAAGTGTATACAACAACATCAAGGTATAAAGAAATGAGCAAACCTGAAGTTCTGAACCGGAAAAGTTCACAATTGCCTCTCTATAAGTCAACAAAGTAATAGCGGCGCCTAAAAAATAACATCGTAAAGCAACAAATTTAATTTTTCGTTTTCAATTTTTTGGTAAAATGATCTAAATTTTCCGAAGAAATAAAATGAACATTAAACAAAATTTAACAAATAAAGTATTAAAAAACATTTAAATTTAGCAATGTAACTTATAACTTAAAAGCAAATAAAATCACTCAGTGGTTGGACAGCCGGTAATTAAAGTGATCTGTTTAAAATAAACTTTATTGAACTCACTCACTCACTCATCTGTTAAATCAGAATATAATCAAACTTTGAAATATTAAGTGTATACAACAACATCAAGTTATAAAGAAATTAGCAAACCTGAAGTTCTGAACCGGAAAAGTTCACAATTGCCTCTCTATAAGTCAACAAAGTAATAGCGGCGCCTAAAAAATAACATCGTAAAGCAACAAATTTAATTTTTCGTTTTCAATTTTTTGGTAAAATGATCTAAATTTTCCGAAGAAATAAAATGAACATTAAACAAAATTTAACAAATAAAGTATTAAAAAACATTTAAATTTAGCAATGTAACTTATAACTTAAAAGCAAATAAAATCACTCAGTGGATGGACAGCCGGTTATTAAAGTGATCTGTTTAAAATAAACTTTATTGACCCGCCGCAAAGCTGAGTCATCATTCATGGATAATAAAGGATAGTTATTAGGTCATAAATACTGTCTCTGTGAGCTTCAAAATGGTATCAATTTTCAAAGAAAAGATGTAAAGATGTAAAAATGTACATGACAACAGAAACTGAATAAAACATTTCAGAATACTTCAAAGAAAAAAAAGAATGAATTTAAACAATGTTTTGTTAAGATGTATGTGACGGCTAATTTAGTTAAAATGAATAAATATCAAAATAAATACAAAACGAGAATTTTTTTTAGATAAAAGTATATTTTTATCTCAATGTTATCAATTTCTACATTAAATACATATGAATAACTCAATCATCATCTTCTTTTAAGAGTTAGAAATTTTTTTATTTTATCTAACACTAGAAAAAAAACTGTAAGCCAAATAATTGTTTATTTAGCTGTTAATTTTGAATAAGGTATATGAATTTAGGCACTAAAAAAACTTTTTTTGCTAAACTATTGGTATGACATTGTAAACTTATAGCTCGACTAAAGTTTTGATGTTACTTCTTACGAAGAAAATACAAATGTAATTGTTTGAAAATTATAAATTTGAGTTTTTTCTCAATGGCTCTTCAGAAAGTGCAGCTATGATTGAAAATTTTTCCGTTCACAGTCACAAACCTAATTTTGTGACGGTGTTAGGTACTTTCCCAAAGGCATTTTCCCAAGAGCGACTTTCCATGTGAAAATTTCCCTAGGGGCAACTTCCCAAATGTGCAATTTCCCAAGCGGTAACTTCCTAAAGAATAGCATAGGCCCTCTTAGGCGCCGCAGGCTGCAATGGGGGCCGAACGCAACGACTAGGATTGACATTTAGGAAGTTGCCACTTGGGAAAATACCCCATGGGAAGTTGCCACTGGGGAAAAATNTCCCCCCAGGTAGAATTTCTGATCGGGTCATTGTGTACAGTGGCTGTACAACAAGAAGTCTAAAATTCCAGATGCCCCCTCTATTACTAATATCTCGATGGAAAGAACCTAACATATAATTTTTACCTATAAAAGCTCCAATATATTGGGAGATCATGTAGTGGGGAACTTTTTTCCAGGGGAATTTATTTACAACTGCTAGGGCAATGGTTACTGCAGGGTTCAGGTGTGCACCTAATAAAACCAGTTTTTAATCCTGGAACATTTTCTGTTTTCTAATGAAATCTAATCAATTTTTATTGATTATTTGTTTGATAAAAACAACTTCAGTCTAAAAGTTGCATGATCCGTGCCGGTAGAACATGTACTGTACATGCTTTCAGTCGTACTGTCCAGTTTGGTCTACCCAGTGTAGAGTCGACCCAGCATGTTTTATGCAACAAAAAAAATTGAACAGATATTCTTTTGATTATGATTTTAGAAGCGAACACAGATAAATAAAGGATTATAATATTTGCCTCTAACCCTAAATTTTTGCATCCTCCATCGTTGCAACCTAGGAACGAATTTAATGAATTGGAGAGATCGCTGAACGACCTACATTCAAAGAGAATAGAATATATATAAGAGTGGAATTTAGACAATCCCTTGGTATGAATTTTGTCAGTTCCTTTTAGCCTGCAAGGGAGTTCAAAATGTACAGATGTGAAATGTCTTTGTGAAATGATCATTGGTCAATTATGAAACCAGCCTATTTGATAATTTGTTTTTCTTTTAATATCCATTTTAGATTTTATTTCTAAAACATTTAGTTGAAGAAAATGTTATACAGTTGGAGTTTGGACCCATAAAACTCTGGAAGAGAAGGTCGAAATTTAAATATGTTTCATGTTTGTTAAACTAATTAGTTAAACTTATAGCTTGAGTCTGAACACAGTTCAACAAACTGTTATACTTTGTTTACCCATAAAGAACAACGACCATTTAATTCACAAGATTCTGGAGCTCCCTAAAATGTGGAGGGCCATTCATGAAAATAACCACTGCAGACACTGTGTAACTTTAGATTTTGTAGGAAATTTTAGAGACAACTGATGTTCCAGGGCCCAAAAGGTTTTATAGCACAAAAATGTGAAGGACACCTTCAGTATGGAAACAGTACAACAAAATGGCCGTTTTATACCTTTTTTCGAGTAAATTCCTCTCTAATATATATTCTATTCTCTTTGCCTAAATCCGGTTCAAATCCTGAATCACCGGTTCAAATACTCATAAATCTTTAACTTTGAATCTATGATTCAGGATTTGAACCAGCTGTACGTTGTTCAGTGACCTCTCTCTCTCTTTCATAAAATTCGGACTTATAGGATGTAAATTCTGAATAATCATTGATATCTTGATCTAGCAGTATTTAATAACGATCTAGCACATCAGGTTTTAAAGATTGAAGAAATAAAGAATTCGAAAAGAGTTGAAAACTCAATTCCTTTGTTTAGTTTATGAATCTGGGTNCAACGAAACATGGTAGTTGAGAGATGTCGTCTTTGAATCTTGATGCTATTTAACGACAAAATTTGTATCGTGACTTATTTTATATAACTGGAGGCTCTTCTTAGAAATATTTATAATTCGCGTAACCGTTGTCTGATTCACATATTGTCCTGGGTTAGCTATCAAAATTCAAAGACGACCTCTAGGTCATCTTTCATCTTTTATGTATAGTGGGAATACACTGTATACCTGATATAGGAGCTGAAGCCATGATACCAAGAACTACCCCTGCCCCCCATCCAACATTAATTGAGAACATATTTCCATTTTCTTTATGCGACAAAACAGCCTAATATCAGACATGTGTTATTCATAGAATTTCAGTTTTTTATTTGTGTAATCTTCGAAGCAAATTTACATTACTTGGCTTCACGCTCCTTTAAAGGGATATACCGGCTATGTAAGACTTAGATGAACTGAGTATATGCACTGTTGTGGAAAGCTTCTTTAGGATTCATTTGATACATACAAAACCTTTTAAAGATCTGTAAATAGGGTTATTAATCGTTTTTGTAAAAGATCTTTTTGTTTCGTTTTCAAAAACGATCGTTTCGTTTTCGGAAAAAAACGATAGTTTTTAAAAACGACCCACTCGATTTTTCAAAAAGAGGATCGTTTTTGAAAAAAAATTTTATTGACAATTATGTTAACGATCGTTAACGAAGGGGTCGTCGTTAATGATCGTTAACGAAACGACGAATTTTATAAAAACGATCGTTTTAAAAACGACCATTTTTAAAAAACGAACTTTTGAAAAAAACGATTGTTTTCAAAAACAATCGTTTCGTTCTCGATTTTTCGTCTGAAAAATGAAAACGTTAACATCTCTATCTGTAAATCCTAAGTTTGAGCTCAAATTCGACGTTCAAAACTCCTACTTTGGGGGTGAATACGTTTTCAGAATCTTTAAAAAGTTTTAAATGTCTCAAATGAATCCTAAAGAAGCTTTCCACAACACTGCATACTCAGTTCATCTACCTAACATAGCCAGTCTGTCCCTTTAAATGTTTTTTTCATAATTGAAAAACAAACGTTTTTATTTAATAATTGATGAATTTCCAAAATTTTTAAAAATTGACAATTTTCTAGTAAAACGTATTCGATTTTAAATTTGTGTAAATATAAATTTTTTTTTACACATATCGGGCCCAATTTTTAGGCAACCTGCCCTTTTATTAAAGAAATACAAAGAGAAAAACTCGAAAATATAAAATTACTTTTTATTCATTTCTTACAGATTTTTTTTCAACTAATTATGTTATTTATTAGTTTGCACAAAAATAAAATATATATTCTCTAAAACCAGGTTCACCTGAGCTACACTTCCAGTGCCAAAGCTTAATATCAGCATAGTTCCGATTATCTCAGCTGAATTTGTACAAGTTGGAATAACAATTTTTCAAATAATCTATTACTTGAATTTTTTAAGATTTAAATAAATTGTCAAAAATATTGTTTAAAATTTAAAATATTCTGAGTCTGAAGCTGTGAGCCACCTGGGTCATCACTTGCATTTTACAAAATCTAAAACCCCCTTTATACTTGTCCTAAGAATGATCACGAACTTTAACTTTCACTAAAAAGTTTTTTTTAGTCTACCAGTATTGCCTACAATGCAGTTAATTTTTTTATTGTTGTTTTGTTACGGTTATAAATAGCTAATCAAAGTCTCTAAAAATATGCTCAATTAGCAATATTGGGTCGTAAAACTACAATTTATATGTTTATTATTTACATAGATTAATTAAAATAACAGATAGAACACTAAATGTCGTCTTTTCAAGATTTCTGTGTGTTTCGTTCACAATAACCCTAGAAAACAGACGCCCAAAGGAGTTACACGTATTTGGCGTGGAACAGGCTCTCTGCCTGTCTTTGTTCTAAACCGACTTAAAAGGCGACTAAAGAAGTAAAATAATTTGACGTTAAAGTAAAAAAAGCTGGAGTTTTCTTCTTGAAACCCTGGGAGAATGTTTACAATTTATGTTTGTTTATTGTGCTTTAAAAGTCAATTATTATTTATTAGGTGTTATCCCAGTGTTTACAGATAATAAATCAAATTGTTATGATGGCTTGTTTATTATGATTTCTAATGAAACAAGTAATGATAAACAT